CCCCAAAAAAAAAACCAAAAAAAAATCCCAAACAAACCCAATAAAAGAAAACAAACCTAAAACCGCCCCCAACTCATTTTAATGTTTTACATTTTGAACGTGGAGCTGGCTATCACTTATCAGTGCCGCGCACTTTCGAACAAAAAGTACGGTACATGTACCAAAGCCGCGCAATATCAGAGCAGCACACTTTTGAACGATATGTATACAATTTGATAGCCGATTACCAATACCAACACCATCCCACGAAGCGAGCGATTGGTTGGAGGGCGCCACTGCCACAAGTAGTAGTAGGTCCAACTTCTTTACTTTCCCTCTGTTGCTCCTGTCTGTCTGTCTGTCTGTCTGTCTGTCTTACTTTTCCCCAGCATTAAATGACCATTATTGTGTTGATGGGCTTCTCTTTACTCAAACAAACAAACATCTGTCTGCGTTTTACTGGATTTGGGACCAGCATACCTCAGTTGAGACATGGCCGCATTTTAAAACAAAAATTTTTTTTGATATTGTGTTTTCGTGTTACAACTCACCATTTATCTGAGTAATGGCCATTTTTGGCATTCATGCTGCAAAATTATTGCCCAATGAAAAATACAAACAATTCTTGAGTCATTTCAATTCAAGTCGTAAAAGTGTCAGTTTATTTTTTTTAAAACCCAGTTTCATTTTTTATATTATGACACAAATACATCTCAATCACTTCGTCAACTGACTCACGTGGAAAATTGTTTTCTCGACACTTAATTTTATGGAAAAACATGTAGTATGGAGTAATTTTTGTTAAGGATAATCAAAGATCGTACATAACAAGATTGTTCCCTCAGCCAAAAAAGTGTCTGCGAAAGGCCGCGCATTGCTCTAGATGGTGCTGCAGTCTTTGTTTTGAAGCACTTTCGCTTCTCCAGAAGAATTGGATTAGCACAGTTTGTTAGTTTCACTTTTATTGTTATTTACACAAGTAGGGCAACTCTGTTCGCAAAGTCCGCGCTTTTTCGAAGAGCGCACCACCAAATTTTGAGGACACTTTTTTAATTGGCTCAAAGAGATGATTGAACTATCTTAATCTTGTTAAACACTACCTTTGGGAGAATGTAACAGTTGGACGGTACTGGCAATCAAATTGTATCTATATCGTTACAAAAGTGCGCAGCTCTGTAAGTGTGTGGCTCTGATACTTTTTTTTTTTTTTTTTTTACCAAAGTGCACGGCTCTGATTTGTTCCTTTTTGAACTGCCACTTATCATGATATTATTACGCATGGTTTATGGCAGGAGTGATGCGCTGACAAAATTTGAATTTTGTATAATGGGTCTAGGATAGAAATACTTTACCAACAACCTTCTGCACTACGATATCTACATTGTACAGATCGAGGAAAACAAAACAACTACATGTAATAATTGAATGTGTGTATAGGCGGAAGTAGTTGGGGGTAAATCTAGCTAGAGAAAGGGTCTTTTCGATATTGCTTAGCTTACATTGGGATTATAGTCTAGTTGTTTTTTTGTTGGGTGTGTTTGTTGTGTTTTTTTGTTGTTTTGTGTGTGTGTGGGGGGGGTGTTTGGGGGGGGGGTGTTGTTGATGCACACTTAAGTATTTGTTAAAATCGATGTAATATGTCATTAATTGTTCTTTATTTTTATCACAAACCTTCCGTTTCATGTATGTCAATGTGTGAAAATCATTACTGAAGACGATATCGACTATGTAAACAATGCCGCAGTACTTCTTTCCTGTCTACCACTAGCCAGTCTTCCGATTAGTTTAGTTAGTTTTAGTAGAGGTTTTACGGCGCTCGTAACTGCATATGGTCATATAAGCGCCTAGGGGTGGATGTCAACAGAGAAATCCTTACAGGGAATCAGACTTTCTCTACTCACCTCTCTAGCTTCAACAGCACAAAGTCTGCTTCGACTATCATGGCACCCCGGAAATAGCGGGACACAAGAGTATGACAAACATACAAAAGAAGTAGAGGAAAATGACGATAGTAAGGATTAGGAAAGAACAAGCAGCCGTTCCATGTTGCAGTTAAGGCACAGTTATGAGCATGACATAGTTGGATCAGCCCATTAACAATTCTACTGTGCACCAGAGAGAGAAATGTCCCCCCTTTGGGAATGGCCTAAAGACACTTCAGTCAGTACCACTGCCCTGGGGGGTAGTCTCTTCCGATTAGACACCATTACAATTTCAATTTCCCATAATGCACTGGCGTTTATCGCTCTCCTTATTTCTATGAGTAATGCACATCAAAAAGCTTTTGAGTCTTGCCAGGGCAATGCTTCTGGGCATTATCTCCACAACAATTATTAGAGAAATATTCGACTGTTGGCATTGAAAGGTTAAGAATCGCTATAAATTATATGTTTAGAATGTGACCACATTCGTTTTACAGGAGACCACATTGCTTAATTGCTTTTTCCGAAACTGAAATGCTCTCTAAAACCCAGACGGTTCGAATGCCTCGTCTTTCGACTACGATAAGACCGAACTAATT